GACTTGGCAACCGACTACTGACACGTTTAACTTCACTTGGAGTTGCGCTCCTACAGCCATTATCACCAAACGATCCATATTATCTACGGTTGCCAAACTCTTCGACCCCCTTGGGTTTCTGTCACCAGTCATCATTCATACTAAACTCTTAATCCAAGAACTCTGGACTATTAAGTTGAAATGGGATGATCCAGTTCCCTCACCGATTTCGCAAACATGGATTCTGTACCTGAAGCAATTTCAGAATATGCCTGATTTCCCGATACCACGATGGATTAACTACAAGTCTGATCATCTAATGGAAATTCATGGATTTTGCGATGCCTCGCAAAAAGCAATGGCTGCAGCTGTCTACATTCGCACGACCAGTCCCGATGAATGCATAAGCACTGTTCTCTTATCTTCAAAAACGAAAGTGGCCCCATTAAAGCGGAATACTATTCCGCGATTGGAATTGGCTGGCGCAGTGCTACTGACCAAACTCATTTCTTGTATCCGGCAAGTATATGACCTACCTGGAATTCCAATATACCTGTGGACTGACTCAGCGGTCACTCACACGTGGATTAATAATCATCCATCTCGGTGGAAGGAATTCGTCCACAATAGAGTGTGCTATATCCAAGAAACTCTCCCTCAAGCTATTTGGTGTTTCGTACCTGGCCAAGACAATCCTGCCGATTTAGCTACAAGAGGTTTAACTGCAACTCAATTACTCGACATACCTACCTGGTGGACAGGACCACAGTGGCTGTCCCGTGATTCTTCTGCCTGGCCAAAAGAATTACAAGAACCACATCGAAACATAAATCTCGGAGAACGACCTACTCAAGTTTCTACAATAACGACCCATAAAGGTCTAGAGCCATGGACTCTGCTACTCAAATACTCCAGTTTAACTCGACTGATCCGCATCACTGCTCTATGTCGACGTATTATATTCCGTCTAAGGGGAATCCCTACCGCATCAATGTCTTACCCCTTAACGCCAGACGAGCTGGAAAGTTCAACACTCTACTGGGTGCGAGCAGTACAGCCGTTTTCATTCCACCAAGAGATAAGAACCTTATCAACCGACCACTCTTTATCGAAATCCAACTCATTAACCCGACTTACACCATTCATAGATTCAGCTGGACTTCTGCGCGTCGGAGGACGCCTTCAATCCGCGTCATTACCTTATAATACTAAACACCCGCTCATTGTCCCGAAGGACTCTACCTTGACTACTCTAATAATCTCTGATGCTCACTTACGTACCCTGCATGGAGGAACGCAGGTCACATTGTCCTTCATCCGCAACAATTATTGGATAATTGGGGGAAGAGCCCCTGTTCGATCGTTTACTCTAAAGGGTATGCGATGCGCTCGATTTCGGCAGCGGAGAGCACAACAATTAATGGGTCAACTTCCCATCGAGAGAGTTACTCCTTCGAGGCCGTTTCTTAACTCAGGAATTGACTACGCTGGCCCATTAGTTATTAAAACTTGGAGAGGCCGAAATACTCGGACATATAAAGCATACATCGCCTTATTTGTTTGCCTTTCCACTTCGGCAATACATCTAGAACTGGTAACAGATTACTCCACTGACACTTTCATCGCGGCTTATAAGAGATTTACAGCCAGGCGTGGCATATGCGCCACTTTAACAAGTGATTGCGGAACTAACTTGAAGGGAGCTGATTCGGAATTACAACGTCTCTTCTCCGCATCATCAAAAGAATTCAAGCAACTAGCTGCCATCCTTGCTAACGACGGCACACATTGGAAATTTATTCTACCTGCTACTCCCCACTTTGGAGGAAAGTGGGAAGCTGGCGTCAAGTCAGTAAAAAATCACTTGAAACGAGTAATAGGCGATACAATTCTCACATGTGAAGAAATGTCGACTCTATTAGCACAAGTTGAGGCTGTACTCAACTCAAGACCTTTATGTCCACTGTCTGACGATCCCAGTGATCTTTCAGCTCTGACACCAGGGCATCTTTTAATTGGAAGCTCCCTTGCTCTCATTCCTGAGCCTTCACTAAAGCAAACTAAATTGTCATATCTTTCGAGATGGCAAATGATTTCCCAAATGTTACAGAGCTTCTGGTCACGATGGTCGACCGAATACTTACAGCGACACCATGCAATGTATAAGTGGAACCGAGTCATGCCTTCACTAGACGAAGGTTCATTAGTTTTAGTCATTGACGAGCGATACCCTCCATCGAAATGGCCTCTTGCTAGAGTCATTAAAACTCATCCAGGCAAAGATGGTCATACCAGAGTTGTTACTGTACGCACTAGTGTTTCAGAGCTTAAAAGACCGATTGCAGAGCTCTGTCCGCTACCCAGTGTAACCCAAGCTTCCTAGTTAATTCGTTAACTCATGTTAACGAAGGCGGGCGGAAAT